AAAGAGCTGTGTGAACTCTGAGTTACCTTTAGTTGACAAAAAAATCATGTGAGATGAAGCTAGAGAAGGAAACACGACTGAAGAGACAATTATTCTTAGTAAGTATAAATTCTGGTTTCTCAGCAAAAGCAGGAGGATGGCTTTGAAAAACATTAAGTGCAATATACTCAATAAGTGGTGAAAACTGCCACATAATTTCTTCAAATTTTATAAGATTTCCAAGTAAACCCAACTCAAAAGGCCCCCTAATCTGAGTTGTATTCTTTCCTGCCTTCTTCCTCTGAAAACCACTTTGTCCATCATCTCTTGCATTTAGCAACATTGTTTGGGACTTGTCAGCACAACTGTCATTTCAGTAACCTGTGCCTTCTCCAGCACGGTAACAGAACATTTTGCATGCAGATCTCAGCGTTCCCAGCAATCCAAACGCTTATACTCTCAGCTGGCCAAAGCATGGCTTTGTAGGTATGATTGTAGCTGCAACTCTCAAATAGCCACAGGTGCTGTTACATAGCTCTTACTTCCAGTGACTACCCAAAACTCCTTTTCTCCCCTTGCTATAACAGCAATACAGCAGGGATCTATATTAAAATGTCCTAAAGGGCAAGTGTTTCAACAGAAAGCCAATGGGCTTAGCAAGTATCAAGTAGAAGTTGATGTGAAGCAGGACCGTTGCTGAATCAGAATTAGCACCTATAACTTTTGCTAGGAATAAAGTGTTTGTAAAATGAGATTTTTAAAAGCATCTGAAACTCTCAGTGATCTAGAATTTTTAGAAAAATACTAGACTGTACTTCCAAAGTGCTACAGGAATTAATATATTGTAGTTTCAGATCAGGACTGATCACATCCAACTTGGCATCTGGAACAGCTTCTTGACAGCAACAGAAAGCTGTTCTAAGATCCCAACTTTAAAAATTAAAACTCAGTAGAACTTTGCAATAAAAAAAACCATAGTAGCATCCAAAATACCACTGGAAATTAAAAAAAAAAAAGGGGGGGGGTATGTATACATATTTTACATATTTGTTGCTTATTTAATCCCATTTGTGTTACAATGGTTTGAATCCAAGTGCCTCTGGAACTAAAAAAAATCAGTTGTACACAGTTGGATACACACAGTCCAGGCTAAAATGGTACTAACAACACAAAGCTTCAGTTTCCATAGACTGAACAATTGTCTTTGAAATGTTTTATTCCATTATGTCCAGAATATTTAGTGCTCTGAAGGACAGGATTCCTAAGTTACAAATCCATTTTCCTGTGATGTCTGTCACCAGGGTATTTGAGCTCCTCCTGGTGATGGCTTTGTCAGCTATGAATATACTGGATTTTCCACATTTTTAAAAATTGTATGCTTTAGGAGCAGAGGGGTATAATTTAATTTCTCAAATTTATGCCCCATGTCTGGAACACAACAAAAACATTTAACCTTTAATTTTCTAAGTCCCAATCTAGAGCATGAATCAAAAGAAACCCTTTCTTCAGAAGAGATGAAGTTGAGCTTGTAACCAGAAATTCCAAACACATGTTTTAGCTCAACGAGATTAGGATTTACATATCCTGAAATCACAGAGCAAGTCCACATGGGAACAATCATGAGTTATGTGCCAGATGTTTCTCATACATGCTACATGAAATTCAGGGAATGGTACAAATATAGGGAGAAATAAGTTACAGACACTTTGTCTTTACTACACAATAGCTAGAGTCCTCTGCGTATCTGCACATGTGCTACCTATGATTTCCAGGTGGCCTTATATTAAAAAGTGTTCCCAATATTATCTCTTTTATTAACTGGATTTTATTTGCTGAATGTGCAGCATCCTTCCTCTTCCACACTATTTATTAAGTATCTGGAAAAATAAGCATAGTGAAGTAAAAAAAAAGACAACTGGGATTAATACAAAAAGAAATTTACAGAAGCCTGAGGTATTCTAATCATTAAACTGCGCTCTGTGGACATGTGGTGAAAATCTACAGTTGCCAGAAAAATAATTTGATAAAGAAAAATACATAAACTTGAAAGAACTGAATGAAAGCTGCTACTAGCCACATTGAAATGGTTGTCCCAGTGACACAATCACACAAAACAGGATTTTTTCTCATTAGCTTTCCTGATTTACAGTTAACACTCTCTTCACAATCCTCTCAAACAGAACCAGTGCAAAGACATATTACAAAACTTTCCTTATACCATTTCAACCTCAAATGCAAAGAAAAAATAAAAATTATTTCATAAAAAACCCCAGACGTTTTTAATATATTTGTAGACACTTCTAGTCCAGCAGAACTTGAACACTCCACAGTGCTAATAGCACTTTTGCCTTCTCTTCCTCACAGCTCATTTGAAGTGCTGTGAATCTGTACAAAACTTTCTCCAGCACATATTTTGTCTCCCATAGCCACACATGGAGACACCTGGAACACATTATTGCACCTGTAAAGTAGACTGCACACATTTTATTCACAAACAATTTTTCTTACTCTACAGAGAGCTTATGTTTTCCATTTTTCCTGTTTGACTTCTCCAAATATTTCTGGAGGAATCAAATGTATAAACAGACACATAACAAAGTTTTAAGTTTCACTAGAGGTCTGAAGGAGACATTGCATCTGGCAGGTCTCTCAAGTGTTTGGGAAAGACAACCTTCAGGCTGAAATCTGTGTTTTTTTCTTTCTAGTAAATAGATCTTTGCGATCATGCAACTTCTTTATGAATACACTTGTGTTGAGCATACAATATGATGAACAGCTACAGCTTCTCAAATTTTGTCATGTAGCAGCCACCACTGGTTATTCATTTGTTTAATCTCTTGGCATCATATTAATATGTATTTGATTGCAAAAGAACACCATGGTATTAAGTAACTTGAAATATTTAGCTGGAGGAACTTTTTAAGTCTCAGGCTATCACAAAGGACAATCTGACAGAGCATCAGAAGCACAACCATAACAAATGATCAGAGAGGAGGAAACAGATTTTTTTCAAGGTGTAAAGAATCACTGCTAGAAACTATTGCAACTAAGCGGAAAACATATTCTGCTATACTGACTCTTACGATATCAGTGAGGTGGTTCTGAGTACAGATTCAAGTCCCATAAGTCTCTCTGGCATGACCAGAGTCAGAAGTAGTGTAGATTATTAACAATGTGATCTAGGTACAGGAATCCAGATTTGCAAAGGCACTTAAAACTGTGAGCCCACTGAAACAAGCAGAAGCCAGGCATATATTTTGCCAGCATTGGTCTCTTTTCCTCTTTAGAATTTAGTACTAAGAAGCATTAAAACCTTGCAGATAATCTCTCTCAAAATTTTATTAATCTGCAATTTGGCTATGAAAACCTTGGTACATTTTATCACAAGACTGACATAATTTGACCATGTTATACTTTGAGACACTGTGATGATCACTACTGAAATGTTCAGGGGGGGGGGAAGAAAAGGCTAGATTGGCTGAATTATACATATGTTGTGATTTGTACTCACCCGGAAAAGGTAAATTCACCCTGGAGTGAGGGGTGGTGGTTTTGGGGTTTTTTTTAATTGTTGATAAGACTAGCAAGTGCAGTATATATAGCAAGTGCAGTATATACTAGAGAGATATTTAAGTGGAGCTGTAAGATATTCTGAAACACTGGTCATGCATCTCACAGCATATAATGAGATACTAGTTTGAAAAGTAATGTAAAAGACTGCCACTTCACTGTGATTTTACTTTATAGTAAATTTATAGTAATTTTATAGTAAAAATTAGCTAGCTGTAAAATTGCAGCGTGTTAGATCTTCAATGGTAAACTTACACTGACCTACCTGGAATCACTGTCAGAGCAGATTAATGGAATTCCTAAGGTAAACTGATATAGCTACCATAGTGCAAATTCATAACTAGTAGCAACTGCTACCTTCAAGGGGAATGATATACAATAGTGACCAAGAACATCATCATGTATCTAGATAAGTCTAATATCTTCCATATATACTTATCTTTACTGTTTGTAAGTACTTTGGGTACTAAAGGAGATTTATCCATCACAAAAAGTTATTAATCCACTTCCAGACAGTTTGCTTAAGAAACAGCAGCAAAATACTAAATACTGTGCTCCATCTGCATGGAGCAAGGAGGAACAAAGGAACAATTAGCATAAACTTACTGAAAGCTCTTACAAGTATTTTGAAGGTAAGACTAAGAACATTTGCTGTTTCCCTTGACCTCTCTTGCTTCAGCAGATCATATACTTTTTCTCAAGTTGTAAAAAAACCTGCACCTCTCTCTGGTAACTGTTAGTGTTCTGCAAATAGAGGGGGGAAAGCTAAGATAGACAAAACCAAAGGCACCACTTATAATTACTTTTTTCAGGGTAGAATTCTCTTAAAATAATTCCCTCAGCTTTTTAAACAATCAGAAGCTTTAAAGTTTGGGTTCACAAGTTATTCTATCTTTTCCACCAATTAGTCCTACCATCCCAGCACATAATCAAAATTCTCCTTGGAAATTGAATTATTTGATGTGATAAACCAAGGTCCTCTTCAGTGCTAAATTTTAAACTTTCATCGTACACTTCCATTTTCTGGTCTTCATTTAAAATCCCAATTTGCAGACTTACAAATCTATCTCCAGTGCAAAACAAATAAATATAAGCCCTTCCTACAATTTTATCAGTCCTTTCATGACTTGATTGCCAGAGAAAGAAGTTCAGAGAGCAGAAACTTTACAAGAAATGCTGGTGTTATCAAAGCATTGGGCGCTTTGCCACCAGCGTTTGAAGGCATTTAATTTCTGGGCCGTTATCTGATTTCCGACAGAAATCCCTCCAGTGTCCCAAGTCCCTCCTCTGCCGCGCACAGCTGTGTCTCCGCGCTCCAAGGGTGTGAGCTGACGGAGGAACCGCCGCTCAGACCGCAAAGCCAGCAGGAAACCCGGGATCTTGCACAACTCCCGGTGCCTGCCGCTCCCAAGGCAGCCGCCCCCAGCCCCCGCCCAGGCGCCGCTCCCGAGCAGAGCCGCGGGCAGCGCCGGGGCTGCAGAGCCACAGCCCGCCGGCACCGCTCCCACCGCCTCCTCCGCTCCGCTCCTCACGATGCCGGTGGGTGAGGGAAAAACGGGGGGGTGGGGAGGCGGCAGCGCAGGAGGGTCCTGCGCGACCGCCGCCTGACGGGGCTTCTCCTTTCAGAGCTTCCTGAAGTGGCTGCTGGTGACCGTGGGGGTCGCCGTCGCGGTCGTGGCGATCACCGTGCCCCTGGTGCTGCTCACCGGCAGTGAGTGCGCGGCGGGGCCGGGAGGGGCGGGATAGGGAGGGAGGGGGGGGCTCCCGGCGGCCGCCGGGGCTCGGAGGGGGTCCGCAGCCGCGCCGCCCACGGCAGCGGGGGGAAAGTTTCGCGGAAAGTTTGTGCTGTAGAGAACGGGATCCATAAAACTGGAGCTCCTGAGTCCGGGAAACTGGGAGGTGCGTCGCCAAGAGGGCGTCTCACCTGGGAAGATAGTGGGCGCGGGGAGAGTTAAAAAGACCGTTGATCTCCCCGTGTGCGCTGGTAATAGTTATAATCATTATCGTTTTCAGCATTTTCTGTTCTTATTGTGGCCCCAGGCTGTTGAACCAGCCGTAAAATGCCAATTAGTCATTTTTCTGGGGTGTATTGAAGAGATAAGATTATATTCCCTCTCGTTTGCTGTGTTTGCACTTTTGTTAATGCCACTGAGTGATGTTATATAAACAGCACAGTTACAGAGGTCAGAAAAGTAGAAGAAGATTTGGAATGCAGTTTTGGACTCTGATCGGTTTGTACTTTTCAGGTTGCCCATGTGGCTCTGGATGTTAATATGAAACAGCATTAAATCCTCATTAAGCAATGCCTTGCTTCCAGCTGGTAGGACAGAGCTGCACCTTATTCTCATTTTGTGTTCTTACGATTAACAGCTGAGCAGTTGCGATATGTAGAATCAGCACTGCAAACTCTAAGGAAGTGTTTTCTAGACTAGACCTTTGGTGGTCCACCAAAGGTGCACCCCAAGATGCGTGAAGATGCCTGTGCTGATCTTGACAGTGTGTTCAGAAATGAACACAGCAATTTTTTATGTGCACAGAAAGTTCTGGTGGGTTTGTTGTATGTTATTTAAAGAGGTGAAGCTTGTGTCACTAGTGCTCAATAGTCACTAGTGCACAATATAGCATAACTTACATGAAACTGTTTTGCAGTTCAGCTCTATCAGTATCTCAGTCATTAAAAACTAGATTTTTGAAGTCCAGATATCTGAATTACATACCTTCTGGGCTAAAACTTTCATCAGTGGATGCTGACTCCCTTTTCTGTTATTTTTTGGGCAGCTTTTTGCCACTTATCTCAAAAAAGCAGGTTTTTGAAATGACAGAAAATGCTCTGAATTTCACAAGTTGGGAAGAGCAAGAGAAAGGGTCTTGATAACTTATCAGATGGATATGTGTAGGCATAACACCTAGTGAAAGAATTCAGTATGCAGGCCTGAACTCTGCTGAAGAGATGGTGCTTGTCTATCTTGGTGCCAATTCTATGTCTTACTGTGAGTCAGATGGGTTTTCTTCCTTCTAGCATAGGAATTCTTCTGCTGTAGAAGTGGCTGCAATTCAGGACCAGTCACTCAGTTGTATAGTAAATTCATTCTACTTCAAAGAAACACTTCTGTTGTATGATATACAGAATACCACCATGCTGTCAGCCTTGGCTTACATCGTTCTGGTTGTAGGAAAACGAGGCAGTCTTTTTACTGTTGGCTCAAATTAAGACATAGGAAATTGCCTAGCATGCCCCAGTAGTTCACTAAGTCTCTCTGGATAAAGTATGGATTGAGATGGAGTGGTCCCAGTTCAAAAACTTAAATTCCTGTCTCTTCCCAAATCAGGCCAGCAGTGACATCTGAATAACAACTGTGACCATTGTAATTCAGGATCTGCAGGGTGCTTTTGAATCTTTAACTGTGCTAAACAGATGTTTTCTGTTAGCTGAGGGTGTATAGTTGGTGTTCTTATAAAGTAGTAATTTATAGGTTAGAGCACTTAATGACTGACAGTTTGATTATATGGTTTTTATTAACAACCATAAGGGCATGTAAGTTAGCTGAGGATGCCTCCTGGGCCATACAGGTACTCGCCTGAGTACGAAATGAAAATGGCAAAATTACATTTGGGATGAGCAGAGCCCGCATGACTGTGACTATGTGGGATCAAAGTCTGCTCTGATAAAAGTCTTTATAATTCCAATTAAGTCTTTATTTCATCCCAGTTGTTCAAGCATTGTGCAGGGAGTGAAAATGCTGATTATTGATACAAACAGATAATTTCGAGTTTGGCTTTCTTACATTTGGTGTGCAACTGTTTTCCCTTCCACACTTCTCAATGTACTTCCCTGTCATAAGCTTAGTAGTCATGCAGCACATAATTAGTTTGATAAATGGGCTCCAGTGCTGTGAAAGGTTGTGCAATTTTGCCACTCCAGAGGAGTTCTGGCTTGTTGCCTGGCCTGTAGGCCTGGCAAGTAGAACTTCTGTTTCTTCTCTTGCAGCTGTTTAGCATGGAGAAATACTTCAGACTTAAATTTGCAAAAAGTCTCCCTAATTTTGGGTGCAGCCCTTTGCTATTTACCTTGAGGGTCTTCCCAGCCAGAACTCTGCACACTCTGTTTCCACTGCCTATTTTGACACCTTATTTTATATTTAAAACCACATGTGACTACTTTCATCAAACGGTTTAACCTCAAAATAGCCTCGGGGGTTGTATTTGAAGTCCGTTGACTAAAGCATTGTTATGCTTTGAGGTGCTATCCAACAGGTGACTATGGGTAACAAGTGGTTACCTTTAAAGTATGAGTTTTTTCTAAAAAATTTTTGGTCTGTCCATGATGCACTTACCCATTTACTTTACTTACTTTCCATGTAAAAGACAGATTGAAACATCCCTAGTCCGTGTACCCTTTATCTCTTCTCTAACCACAGTTCTTGTTCTTCTGGCCAGCTGGGCAGGAAGTCCAGGAGCAGGAGTATGAGCAGCAAATGCTGAGAGCAGGAAGGAGACAGTGCAGTATCATTCTGCTGCCATGAGAAGTCATAAGTGGCCTTAGAGTGAGGTGTCCTGTACAGCTGGTACGGCTTCCTTCACTCACAGGTCTAATTCTCTAAGGGTGAGATATTCACTAAATGAGAAGGTCATCACTGTCATGGTTAGGTGATACTGTTTCTGCATCTGTGGTCTTCTAATAGAAATGTGCCTAGAAGAGGCTGGAAAGCGCAGATAATGACCTTAAGGTGTCTGAGAGTTCTTCGTGAGTCTGAAAAGATAGGGAATGGAAATGTTTTCCTGCTATATGTCCTTGACTTCTGTCACTGTCATTTAACTCACTTATCTACCCTAATTCAAATGTTGAGTAATATCACACTAAAAAAAATTATCAGCAGTGGATTGCTATTTACAGAACTCTTCTGCTATTTTTATTTCCTTGCTTTGCATGAGATGAGGTAACTTTGAGAGGGATTCCAGAGCTATTGATTACAAAGTTAATGATTACATCCCTCTGGGATAGTCTCTGCAGCCCCGCAGAGTGGCTCTTGGATGAACTGCCCCAGGTGCTCACTCATTGGTTGTGGTCTCTCCTGAATGTCCTGTATCAGCTCTTGGGTAAAATTCTGAATGAAGTGAACCTTTGGCCTGACACAGCAAAGTAGTTTTTACATACTTTTTTTCTGGAAACGTACTTCAGATACTTCGTCACATATCTCAGGCAGTAACTGTGGGCTTGAGTGTACATGAGGGGGAAGAGTTAGAGCACTTTTTTACACATGTTGGAATACAAATGAGGGGGAATAGGAAGGTTTGGAAAAACTAGCCTGAAATGTCTTTTACTTTTCTAACCACTGGATCAATTTGGTTTCTCTTGCATCTCTCCTGCTGCTCCTAAATTACATTCTTAGACAGCAGATTATTCTCACTCTTGTTCTGCTGTCGCTTTAAAATTGAGATAATAATTCACCTTTTCTGATTTTTAGCATCTCTCTATCCCTGTCTCGTTATTGCTCAACATCATGCTTGTACTTGTCTTTCTCTTTTTGTGTTTTTTTCCAGTCTCTCTCTTGGTAGTGGTGAACATGCAGTAAAGCTTCTATTATTCCTGCTTTATATAGTTTTCCATCACTTTAAAGTTGGTTGCATAATTTCATACACTTTTTTTTTTAATTATTATTACATATGGAAATTATTAAAATGCACCTTGACACCCGGCAATAAACAATACATATACCAAAAGTAATTTGTCAACATCTGTAGGTTTTGGTATGGTGATTATCATACCATAACCCTTACACAATAGTTAACTTCTTGTTTACTTTATAGATGTCCTGGTTGTGGCTGGGAGTCAGGTAATTTTCTTCCTAGTAGTTGGCACAGAGCTCTGTTTTGGATTCAGTGTGAGAATAATGTTGATAACACACTGATGTTTTGGTTGTTGCTAAGTAGTGCTTACTCTAAGTCATAGACTTTTCAGTTTCCCAGACTTTGCCAGTGAGCAGGTGCACAAGGAGCTGGGAGGGAGCATGGCCAGGACACCTGACCCGATCTGGCCAACGGGATATTTCATAGCATGGAATGTCATGGTCATATAAATGGGGGGGAATTGGCTGTGAGATGCCGATCACTGCCCAGGGACAGGCCCTGGGCATTGGTCAGTGAGTGGTGAGCAATTGTATTGTGCATGACTTGTCTTTCTTGGGTTCTTTTTCTTCCTCTCTCTCCTTTTCATTACAAATATTATTACTATTATTAGCAATATTATATTTAACTTTAGTTCAATCATTAAACTATTCTTATCTCAACATATGAGTTTTATCTTTTTCTGATTCTCCTTCCTATCCCCACTGAGGGTGGGGAGGAGAGAGAGGAAGAAAGCGAGTGGTTGAGTAGTACTTAGTTGCCAGCTGAGGTTAAACAATGTCAATACTTTACACCTGCAGAAAGGGTGACGTATTAATAAAAAATTCCAAAATGGAAACAAAATTGTTTAACAGCCTCATATGAGTACTACTTACATAAAAGGTTAGAGCCTTCTTCCCAGAAGGACTTACTTATATTTTTGCTGTTGTGACAGGGGTATTATGGTGTTATTATTTCCAGTATATCACTATGACAGTAGAAATATGTATGTACTGCCAGGAGTGAGAATAGGATAGAGATGAATCACAGAATCATTAAGATTGGAAAAGACCTCCAAGATCATCAGGTCTAACCTTTGACCGAACACCACTTTATCAACGAAACCATAGCACATCCAGTCATTTCTTGAACACTTGCAGGGATGGTGATTCCACCACTTGCCTGGGCCCTTTCCAGTGCTTAACCACCCTTACGGTGAAGAAATTTTTCCTTATGTCCAGCCTGAACCTCCCTGGTGCAGCTTGAGTCCATTTCCTCTTGCCTGGCTACAGCCTCATTTCAGATAGTTGTGGAGAGGGATAAAGTCACCCCTGAGCCTCCTCTTCTCTAGGCTAAACAACCCCAGCTCCCTGAGTCACTCCTTATAGGACATGTGCTCCACACCCTTTACGAGCTTCATTGACCTTCTCTGGTCACACTTCAGCACCTCCATGTCTGTCTTGAATTGAGGGACCCAGAACTGGACACAGGACTTGAGGTGTGGCCTCACTAGTGCCAAGTACAGGGGGACAATCACTTCCTTAGTACTGCTGGCCACATTTCTGATACAAGCCAGGATGCCAGTGGACGTCTTTTTCTGCTGGGCAGCTTTCCAGCCAATCTTCCCGCAGCCTATAGCGCTGCGTGGGGTTGCTGTAACCAAAGTGCAGGACCCAGCACTTACTAAACCTCAGACAATTGGCCTTTCGCCATTGATCCAGCTTGTCCAGATCCTTTGCAGAACCTTCCTACCCTCCAGCAGACCAACACTCCTGCCCAGCTTGGTGTTGTCTGCGAACTTACTGAGGGTGCACTCAATCCCTTCATCCAAATCAGCAATAAATATATAAAACAGAACTACCCCCAGTACTGAGCATTGGAAGCTAGTAATTTAGAAAATTTGGAATTTAGAAAAATAAGTCTGGAGCTGGAATAGTCAAAAAACAAAAATAGCAAGAACATTTAGTCCTCACAGCCTCTCTGAGAAACCCAAGAGTGAAAGAAGCGGTTTTGCTAAAGTATGAACATACATTGATCTGTATCCAATCTTCAAAGCCAATAAAATGCTCTTGAATGTCAACAATTACTTTATTTTGTAAAAAACCCCTGTTTGACCCTTCTTTTCAAATGGATTCTGAACAAGGAGAACCAAAATGCAGAATTCAATGTATGTTGAGTCTCTTTGGTTGGTGGCATAATGTGGATAAGTATGAATATAATGGTAATGGCCTATCTTGTAAATTAAGAAAATACTTCAACTAGAACTTCTACGACTACCCCCTTACAGCTTGGCGTACATTTTCATATTCAGATACTACGTGGAAGGTGTTGACAGAAAATGAAATTTTAATTTTACACACAGCCAACAAATCTTAATAGTGGCCTGATTTTTTAGTAATGAGACCTTAGCAAAATATGTATGTCACCAGGGGGGAAAACATTCATCAGTTTGGAAAAATCCCTAAACCTGTTCATCAGCCACCTGTCTTAAATTGCTTCTCCTTTTCCAAGAGAGAGTTTTGTTGCTTTCTGAAGCCTCTCTGATTGAAAAGTACATTTTCTCAATTAGGAAGGAGAGAAGTCATATTCCCAACTAGACAACTCTGTGTGAATATCAAATGCACACTTGTTCATAATCCATCAAATTACATATTCAGTTAATATCGAATAATTAACCTGAGAAATTAATATTCTTAGAGACACTTCAAGAGCAGTAAGTCTAGCCTAATTTTTTAGAACAGTCAAGTTTCAAATGGCATTGAGCAAGCATTTTTTTTAACCTTTGCTGAGCATTTTAAACTAAAAATCACTGTTATGTCTCTTGATTTTTATTGCAGCACTGGTTGTACAGTCTGTGCTGTATATATACAATTTGCTTATTGCTTGGAAATAAGAGTAAAGCTGTAATAGCTAATATAAATATCTTCCTGCTGTGTTCCATTTGACACATGTATTTAACCTGCGGAAAGATACCCTGGAAAAATTATTGTGAGGTGTTTTCCTGTGTGTCCCCCCAAGGGCTTTGCACTCTTTTTCTTCTTCACTATAATGAAAGAAGAGGCAGTTCTTAGGGATGTGCTAAGTATCTTGGTTGATTGGTCACCACATCTGTACTTGAGTGTTTTTATCAGTTGCTTTTATTCTAGTCTTTTGATTTAGCCAGTTGAAATAAAAATTGCTTCCCTTCTGGAATGTGTAGGTTTGTATGAGGGAGGTTTTAGGTTTCCATTAAAAGAAAAAAAAAAGGTAGAGAGGAAGCAGGGAGAGAATTGCACACCTGAATTTAAAAACTGTAGTCTTTGTTTTCATAGGAAAAAGATCACAAAGACTCCCAGACCGAGTTGTTGTTGTTGTTATTATTGCTATTACTTTTCATATTTTGGAAAGAGCAGCATGTGTGTTGCAGCCAATAAGAAATATTTTTCTTAGAGGTTGACTGCAATGGGCTGAAGCCGATGACCAAACTCATTAGCTTAACTACGTTCAAAGTTTCACTTGGTCTTCTCAGAGTAACCCAGTTACTTGGCTTTAATTTTCCAGTCAAAATTGTAACATGGCAATAAATATTAAGATATCTTGATGAAAAACACATCAAGAGAGGGATAAATATTTAACCAGTTATTTCATCATAAGCTTATTAGAAACTGCTTGTGATTTATTTTTTTTTTAATCAGACCTTCCCTGAAAATTTTACTGCTTCTCAGATTTATTTTTTTTTTTGAGACATTTCTGAAATTTGAGTTTAATCATAAGCAGATAATTCACAACTGAAGGGTTCAGGAACAGGAACAGCAATATTACAGAATATGTGATCAAGTACAGCAGCCACTTTCTTTTTAGGGCATCTCCCAAGGTCTGTACATTTACTCACATGGATGTCACATTTCAGTCATATGGACAACCTTGCCTGTCCACCACTCTGTTTGAGAGCACATGATGAGCATGTACATCTCTGTTTTGTGTGATCCACCCCACAACTGATGTCTGATGCAAATATTAGCATGTGGGGCTCTGCAGCAAACCTCCCAGAGTGAGCATGGGGAGAAAGGCACCAAGATCGCTTCTTTTCAGTTTTTGAAAGTACAAGTACAGTACAAGTATGTGTTTGCTGAAATAAGATGGCTAGAGGTCTTTCATTCATTTTCGTCACTGTCAAAAAAGTATTTTCATTTCCATGAGTTTGTTGAGTGATTTTATTGACACTTTTATGCTTGCTGAATTTATCTTGCAGTAAAGTTTTATTGTCTTCCTACTGCTAGTACTTTAGAGGTGTTTAGCTTAAACACTTTAATAACCAGCAACAAAAACCCACTCGGTAGTCAGGCTAAGAAGCTGGGGTGGAACAATTTGCAGCAACATCAAAATCTCTCTTCTGTCTCTTTTTTTCAGAAAGTCCCTCTAAGCCTGATTCACGAAAAACGTACACTCTACAGAATTACTTGAACAACGACTATTCATACAAACCATATGATCTACAGTGGATTTCAGGTAATTAATTTATAGATACAACTTAAATGTCAAGAAAATGTACTACCTTCAATAAACACATATCTTCATGCTGAGGTGACCACTGTATCCTGAAAAAAAGTTAAATTATTTAATAGTACCATTATAGAACAGCTCAAAGAGTTGATATTTGCCCCCCTTAGATACATGCTTACCTTCATGGCAAGCTATATTCTCCTACTGCTGAAAGTGCATACTTTTGTGCTTTTTGGTAGAAACATGTTTTCCTCTGAAGCGTGTCAGCTTTCTCTGCATTGGGCTGCCAGGGAACAGGCACTTTTCCTTTTGAATATGCCTAGTGCCCCAAGGGAAAGAGATGCTAGAAAGTGGATGCTGTGAGGACTACATTTTGTGAACGTTCTTGTGCTATAAGCATCCTTTCATTACTGAACTGGGAAACACAACATTGACCAGATTTTTGAATTTTATTTCCTGCTTATAAACATAAGGGGAAAAGAGAAGTAAATGATAAACATTTTACTTATTTTTTATGAGCATCTCTCTTGTTCTTCTAGGAAATCAGTATCTCCATGAAACAAATAATGGGAACATCCTACTTATCAGTGCTGACAATGGAACATCATCAGTAATCTTGGCGAATACAACATTAGTATGTTAACTTATATGTAATATATGCAGACATTGAGAAAGGTATTGAGTTTACTATTTAGTTCTGCACATTTCTTTGGAAACAGTGCTTAATGTGTTCCTTTTCCCCTTCCTTTGTTGACAGGATAAGTACAAGGCAAGCACAGCTATATTGTCTCCTGACCATAAGTTTGCTCTTCTGCGGTACAGCTATAGAAAGGTACAAGTGCACTTTACATCTGAGGATGAAACTGGGAAATAAAGGTTTGAGAACAACTGAGAGGCTGCGAGAATGTGAGGGAAATGCAGGAGGAGGGATGAATGAGATGGATATATGTAGGGGAACAGTCAAGTTGAGCAGGCAGGAGGAGAAGAGACTGGTATTATCGTGGGCTTGTCAGAAGAGACATGACTGCCTGAGAAAAGCATCTGGATAAAAAGTGGATGGACAGTTATCACAAGAAGAGCAAGGCTGGATGGTTCATCTGGGAAGACAATCTAGAAGAGTAGATAGGCATGGCTGTTCAAGGAGTTGTGTGGGTAAGGAGAAGTGATGAGTAGATATGCTGGTACATCTGCTTGTACGTGTATGCTATATATATGTATATATATATATATATGTGGTTGTTACATTGTGGTGGTAGGATGCAAGAGTTGAGAACTGAGGTGACTGAAAAGCAGCATGTGCTTTCAAGAGAAGGCTTGTGCTTGGAGTGGACTTGTGTGTCCTTGTTCCCTGCTGTCAGCAAACACATGAAAAGCCTCCAGCAAAATGCTTCACACTGGCTTGGTGTCGAACTGTGCAAGAAAGGTCAACCTACATTTATGCCAGGTGGCATGAAAACCTGGCTCTGTGTGCCAATTGAGGAGCCTGATGGAGGCAATAATTTGCTGTACAGTTTGTGCACTGAGAAACCTGTAACTTTGTGCTTCTTTCCTTTTTTTTTTCTAGAAAGCTGCCCTGTTTTGTTTGTAAAAAGCTCAGTGCTGACTTCTGCAGTGTACAAATACTTGAGCACTGTGTCACTGAGCTCTGTCTACATGTTCTGGCCTGGCAGTCCAAGAATGGCTATTGCACTGTGCCAGGCACAGTCCGTGCACTCAGTCATCACTTTTTTCAGTTTTAGCTTCCTTGCTGCATTACCTTAGCCAGTTACCTTTCATCTTTCTGAATTGTTCAGAATTATTTAACTTTTCACTGCATCTTTAGTGGCCACAAAATGCCTAATATTTTTCCAGCCACCCTACACATCACGTCTACTCATAATTTATTATAAGTAATTGCATTTTATTTGTTGCATTCATAAGAGTTAATTTTATTTTAATGCTGAAGCAAGATCTTTTAACCTTTATATAATAGTGTGATTGAAAGTTCTGTTATTATTAATCTTTATTGCAAAGAAACAGAGTAACAAAATGAATCATGTGGATGTAGACACTTGTTATGTAATAGCCATCTGGTTATGTAGTACTAAGTTGTTGTTTTATATCTTAATACAAATATTCAAGAACCATCATAGAAGATAGCATTATCGTAACATGTCAACACTGTGGGCTAAATCAAACCTCTCCAGCCAACGTGAACATGTTTAAATGTCTGCATTATCATCATCGTCTTTCTCTCTCTAAGTGCCCACAGGGGGATACAGACTTCAAGAGGCAGATTTCTGAGAGAAGAGGGTTATTTCTGTGACAGTATGAATGGGAATAGGTCACCCTGTACTGGAGGAACTGCTACAGACATACTGTGGGACTTGTGAGAACTACTATAAGATGCCAAGTTCAATAATACGACATGAAAAATGAGACAGAAAACAGTAAGCAAGCCAGTAAGGCACAAGGAGGAGAATTTACTCTGCATAGTGATGATAGTCTGCCGTGTAGCTACAAGGATTTCTGAAAATGTGCATCATCTCTGGTGTCTGTATATCTGTCCTTAATCAACCAGTGGCCTCTGTCATAGTGAAGACCCCAGAGGGGTGGCAATCCTTTAGTCTTTTCTTAAACCTTGTAGAGATCTGTTACCCTCATATATTCATTGTGTTCTGTCTTAAGAAAAAGCATGAGGAGAGTTTCAGAGGTAATTCAAACTGCAAGAGATGTGAATCCTGGTGAAATTTAGTTTCGTAATATTAAAATATTTCTTTTACAGTTGTGGAGGTATTCCTTTACAGCTTCATATCACATCTATGATTTCAGTAGCAGGTCAGTAATCTTTTCACGTGAGATGTGGTTTTAAGATTCTTCTGCAATGAAATGTCATTTCACTGATTTCTCTTGGCTGCATTTTGGTTTTGTTTTTCCAGCTCTATTCTAGATGATGGACTACTACCTAATGATACACAATATCTATCCTGGTCACCTGTTGGTCACAAACTGGTTAGTAAAGATAAGCGACACTTTAATATAAAGTCATTTTCGTACACGTGATATGGAAACTCACATTGTCTGTACTCTTGAGGTTTCGGGACTTTCCTACTGCTCGATAAAGTAGCTGAACTTGTTTCAAAATTGACTACTGTTGCTGGAAAGACTCCAAAATCCCTCTGTGTGTTTTCTTTTGTTCTTTAATGAAAATACATTCCTGAAAGCAAGCAGTGCCCCAGTAGTCATGTAATGCACAAATGCACAGGAACTTCATGTTATTACAGTTGCAGACAGGAGCTCATCCTTTTCAAAGGCAGCAGCATTACGAATGTCTATTTAATCATCACTGTGATTTTTATCTCCTAATTATACAATAATCAATGAAGTTTTACTTGATGAATGCATGTAATGAGATTAGAGGATCAAAATCCTCTTGTTCTCTTTCCCACTGTCCTTTTCTTTCTCCCCTCCAATCCTCAATGGTGAAAGCCACTGCATTTGCAAGGCTTGTGTATTCCCTGTGGTGAGCATTGGATCTGACTGTCACAGGAGAATGTGGTGCCTGTTTATTCTCATTGCTTGTAGTATATGAATTATAGAGACCAACCACAGAAGCAGAGGAAGTCAAAAAGAGCTTTCTGCATCTTGTAGCGAAGCTCTGGAATAAAACTGTGTTGTTCAGTTATTGGAGAGAAAAAACAGGGGTTATTAAAGAGGCGGGCAGGTGCCAAAACCTAGAGGAGTTCTGAGTGCTGCTGCAGAAATGTACTGTTTTTGCAGATCTATTGGTAGTGCTGAGACCCCAGTCAATGTTTTACCAAAGCACTGATAGTTTTGTTTGAAAGGCAAATTAGTGAAAAAAAACTCCTGGCAAAGGAAAATAGGCTTGTATATTGGCAGAAAATGAATAGCAAGGTTTTCAGAACTTGTTACAGTAGTCATGTCACTTAACGTAGTTGACTTGTTTTTTGCAAAAAAACAAGGTTAAGTTGCTACACCTGGTTTGTATTTGTAATTCAAAGTTTGTTAAGTATCAGTGATTGGGGAAATGCAACTTTTAAAAATAGTTTCTGTCATCTGTTGTGAATTTCCCAGTAGATAAAGTAAAGAAAGGAAGCAGGATTTATAATAATAGTAATTGTCATCATGATGATGTTTTGCAGGCATATGTTTGGAAAAATAATGTTTATGTAAAAGCTTCACCAACATCAGCAGCTGTGCCAGTCACTCAAAATGGAGAAGAAAATAAAATTTTCAATGGAATACCAGATTGGGTTTATGAAGGTAATTATGTCAAGCAAGTCTTACTTTATATTATCATATAAACCTTTGGTTTATTGTAGTTATTATTACTGTCTTATTTCTTATACCATTGAAAAGTTCAAATTAATCAAAATTTCTATTTTAAAAGAAACATGCGTCCTTACCTGAGCTTAATACTTGGCTAGTGTGAGAATCAAAGAATGGAAATGAGTTTGCCTAACTTGCAGTGCATCACTGGAAATTTTACTATGTGAATTAACTTCATATGATAGATTAAAAATATTGATCTAATGTCTAATTTCATAACTCCAACACTTTACAGTTTGGTTTCTGAATTTCAATTTAAAAAAAGATATCCTATTAAAAACTTAAGAGAACAGCACCTAGGATAGAAGAGCCAATATCAATTATAACTTAAATGCATTTCTGTTTCTTTCAGAGGAAATGTTTGGCACCAGTTCTGCTCTGTGGTGGTCTCCAAATGGCAATTTTTTGGCATATGCAGCCTTTGATGATACAGAAGTTCCTGTTATAGAGTATTCCTTTTATTCTGACGACACCTTGCAGTATCCAAAGACCATCAGAATCCCATATCCCAAGGTCAGTGTTATTTATTAAACATGTTTGTTCTACAGTTTCATTAAGAGAGTAGTCTCATTTAATCAGTTCCTGCTAATGAAAATATTGTCTGTCTCCTCAACAGCTTGCTGTGATTACTCTTTATGAAGTCAACAGCATCTGGCAATGTTAAAGTATTTTATTATCTCCAGGGTAAAGAAAAAGGAAAAAAGAAGTATGATTTAAGGTTTTGTTGTTTCACCATAAAACTTGGAGGTAGCGAGTAGATGTTGGGAAAGAAAAGCTCTCAGGGAGTTGAAGTTGGTACAAAGCATTTAGCAGATGTACATTATGTTAGGGTTGTGTGTGGTATTGATAATGAAATCTTCTTCAACTAAGGTAGCATTTTCAGTTGTTGGATGCTTCCTGTAAAGGGAGGAAGAGGAGGAATCTGCTGAAGGAGTTTCTTTGCCCACACCTAAAGGTCTTCCAGTTTTAGCTGTGAGAGTGAAGCCTTTAGTGTAAGCAGCTCCTTCTCCTTCCCCCCTCCTCTCCACATGACTTTATGCCCACTGCTCTTGCACAGTTGGCACTGGACTGAATGGGGTGAGAGTCAAAATGCTCTAACAGGTTCTTTCATACACTCCACATGTGAAGGGTTTCATGTTTAATACAAGACTTACCTGTGTGAAGTTATTTGACATATACGGGATTTGGATTTATCAGAGCAATGCACTTAAGACACAAAACAAGTACAAATTACACTTAGAGAACAGCAGTTGCACTACAATGCTGAGTCTCAATACAAACATGTTCTCATAGCTGACCTCCGTTATGTGCTCGCCATCACAGTGCTGGGCATCCCTGTTGCTGGGAAGGAATAGATGGGTTGAAAACATCTCAAGCCCATCACTTTCTTTAGTTTTTCTGTTCATCACTGAGGTTTTATACTCTGTGTTGGCTTAAGGCACCAATATATACCCCCCTCTCCCTCCCACCCCAATCCATGATGGTCTGGCCATCTTGGAAAGATATTTCCACTCTCGATTAGCTGGAGCAGAACAGCTGATAGAGCTGGCTGATCACTCAGCTGTTATGGCTGTTTGGTGAAAAAGCTGCCCTCTTCATGCCAAGCTCAGCTTCCTCTGCAGCAGCCATGGTCAGTCACTCCAAAGGTTCTGGAGCACATGACCTTTGCCTGTCCCCTTGCAGCCTTCCCCAGAGGGGTCACTGACACTCCCCATGAGTAGCTGGGCTCACTGACAGCTGCAGGTGCTCTGTCCTGACCATGGTGCATAAGAAGAGACGTAGGTGTAGAATGAAGTGCCAATTTAAATTACACATTCTATTACAAACCCATTTTGTTTGGAATATTGCTGACTTTTGGAGGTGGATCAAGTACAGCTACCTAACTGTTATGATGGCGAGTTAACTTCTAGAGAAGCAACCCTTACTGACAGAGTTATGTTGCTCCCAGTAGCACTACATTAAAAATAGTGGAGTACATGCTGCAGTCACAGATTTTATTGTGATATAGGTAGCTGTGATGTGCCTTGTTAATGTAAGGTGCTTCTTCCATGGAGAAGCACTTTACTGTGTGTTAGCAATGCATTTGACTCACTGTTAGGTACTGTGTATGGGATGAAAGGTGAGTCAAATATTGCTTTGAGTACAGCAAGCTCAATGTAGTTATGAATGTTTGTAAATGTAGTAGTCTTTCTTATCTAGAAATGCATAAGTAACACTTTTGTGTAAAGAAAAGGATAACTTATGCATCAATCTTAAAAACTGCATTTAGGAACTTGTCTTTTCACATGTTTGAAGTCAGCTGGTTTTACCCTTCTTTCTGTAGTAACTTATTCATCTATAATTTGAAACACTTAATTCACCAAGAATATTCTCTCCTCAGAAGTACGATTAAAAATTTTTTTTTAGGCAGGAGCTCCAAATCCAACTGTGCGATTCTTTATTGTGGATACTGAGTCATTACCAAATTCCACCCCTGTTGAAATTACTCCACCTGCAGAAATAAAATCAGGGTAAGAAATTTTGATTCAATATTTGATTGGGGTTTTTTTGGTGGGAGAGGAGGAGCTTTTATATGTGACCTCCCTATATTCAGTGTATGTGGCAGCTTTTCCCTGTCATGCAGCTCTGGTAGCAACAAGATTTACCAGAGAAAATCTGCACAGAGATTATCCTCCTAGTGATTATATATAGATGGCATATTCCATGTATGTTATATTCAGAATGTGACAAGTTCTTGGCTCGTCACATTCAGTGGAGTCTAACTATGGTGAAGTCATTTCACAGTACAACTTTAATATGAGCAAGTTTTGGTATAATCAAATTATAATATATGTATTCCAATTCACTGGGGGGGGGGAAAAAACCAAAACAAAACCTTAATGGTAAGTGAAGATTTGATTTCATTGGAAGCAAACTCCTTGCTAAGGCAAGGTATCATGGTTGTCTTCAGATTTATACTTAAGATGTTTGTTTTCTTTGGAAACATGGTGAAAATCAGCACCTCTCACAGTAAATGGAAAATTGTATTTCTCAAAATGCCACTGGAAATGCACAACATGATATAAATGTATTTTGTAAAGAGCAGCTACATCAATTTAAAGTGCATGCACAGAGAATTTAATATCCCAGATCTCGGGTTTTGTTTTTTCTTTTTAACAGTATTGTGGAAATTGTTTAGAGGTTTGCACTTACAAACATGATGGGTATGAAAGCACAGGTTATACTGATAAACCAGAAAAAAACAAAGGAGGTCTGTTAGCTTTGCATAAAATGTGCATTTTGTACATGGTGGCCAAAAAGCTATAACTGGAATATCAGTGCTCTCCTGTTTCAGTCGTCACCACAGTCTAACTAACATCTATGTGTTAACCAAGATATGCGAATTTTTATGAATATGTTGTTCTTTATCCTTCCGCTACAGTAGCACTGCAGTAGCTGGATGTTACATAGCTGTCATGCACCGTTTTTCTCTAGAATTTCAGTGTCTCAGAATTAAAAGCCTGTTATGTTTAGCTTAATGCTGATTAAGATCTCTGTTGTTTTAGAATTATGTTTTACCTTTTGTTAACACCTTATGAAAGTTGATGTGGGGACAATAAGCATCAGCTACCTTACAGCCTCGTACTCATCTGGCTAACACAGGCATGAGTTACATGGAGTTAATCCATTTTGAAATGAATGTAGCACTCTGCAAATCAGGATTAATACAAAGATAAATCAAGTCTTGAATGATGAGTGCAAGGATCAAAACTTACTCTTCCTCCCAGTGGCTGATCCAAGTAATGGTCAAGTTTCACCATATGTGTCCTGCAAAAGTTGAGGTGGCCAGAATGAGTCTTGGGGAATTTTGCAAGAACAAAGATACATGAGTAGGAAAAGGCAAGCGATGTGCAATGTTGCTGTTGGGTAGCTTTGCTTCTGGAAGCACAAAGTAATGGATATTTACATGGTATTTATATTTATACCACTGTATGACAGGAAAGGTTAATTTCAGTGGAGGAAAATTCTGTTTGTACTTCCACAGAGCTAAATTCTGAACAAAACTATATTTGAAGTGGTGGTGTACCTCACCCCACCTGCCTGGTAGGGGATGTTGAGGGGCAGTTATCATACAGCGTTATCCAGAGCTTGTATGAGCAGCAGTTGTACCCCCACATTTGTAGTGCACTTCTGTTTCAGAGGAAGAGTTTTATTTGTCAAGAAAAACTGCCAAAATCTGGAATGGCAGTGCTTTGCCATATGATGGTAGATGAAACCTGACATTTTTTGCATGAATGACCAGCACGAAATCCATATAGTGTTTAAACACCATTTTTGGCATCGTGGGTACGGGGGGCTCCTGTTAGCCAACAGGAGGATGGAGGGAATGGATGCTTTTTGTCTGAAATGATCTGTCCTAAAATCAGCTGACTTCTGAGTAGAGAGTGTTTGCAGAGTATCCCTCTCAGCAGCAAATGAGGAAGGGCAATGCAAAACTACTGTATTCTACGCTTGAATTAATTGCAGCTTAGTTAACATTTTGTGGGTTGTTGAATACTGAAGGTGCATTCCCACTCTCAATAATAACAGCAAGCTATTTATTACATTATAATAATAGCTTGATTATTAATTGATTTTTTGTTTATTAATTCTCTTTTCCTTGTAATGTCCATCTTGTCTGATGAATGATTTATAGTCACCAGAACTGTTAATTTCTCTGACTTTGAAGCAATGAAAACTGTGGGACTAATTCCCCTTATACAAAACAAGGGAAACCACTATTATAGGTACATAAAGAATGGCAGTTTCTTTTTTCTTTTTTTTTTTTCCAAACAAGCTCCTGCAGAGAGCCAGTGGCAGTAGCAATTAAATGACCTACTGACTTCCCAGTCAAATGTAAATGCAAAAATAGACTTTATCCAAACAGGATTTTGAAACTGCAAGCCAGAAATAAATCTGAAAGTTGTCGGTAACCAGTTGGCATATATTTTTAATCAATCCACACTAATTGTAGTGTTTCGCCCCCCAAACCACAGTGATCACGAAGATACTCTTATCACAAAACTTCCCACACATTTTTGTTAACTAACTTCGGGGAAAAAGGGAACATGAACTTGGAACTAAGTCAAATGTGCAAATTCCGGTTAAAAATGTATACTTGCCTTGGAGGGGAGGTTTGTTTTATTTTAGTTCATAAGGCTTCTAGGAGATAGGAGAGATCTAAAATAAGAAAAGACAGTACATCTAACAAATCGTAATGGTAAACAAAACCACTAAATTTTATGTGGTGCCTTTTAAAAATTAATATACAGGAATATCCGTGAAGGTGATTTTTTTTCAGATACTCCAGTTCTTCATGTCAACAGGTTGGTATTCTGAAGATTAAAGTAAAATATCCAAAGTAATAACTGGTTTTGGTATGATCTCTCCCTCCATTTTAACTAATGGAAATAACTACTAAATTGAACAAAAATATGTATAATTCAGAAAATGCTTACAAGCAACCAACTTCATGCAGCTAAGGGTAAAATTTTGAAATCTAAGGCACATACAACTTAACATTGAGAAGGATTTCCTATAGATGCACACAGTACATTTATGAACAGTCTGGAGTAGCTATTATTTTATGCATTAGAGAACAGTGATCCGGCTGTTAGAATTTAATTGCAGTCTTTCTGGAAGTCGGTTTGTACAAACCATCTAATTCTTTATTGTATCTCTGCAAATAACCAAGGCATCTACTAGCAGAAAAAACAATTGACAAAAAAATGGCTCAATTAGGTTTGCATAATTGTTTGTTGTTGAAGAGTAGATTGAAATGAAAATAGCCAGATGAGTGTCATTCAGTGAATTTCTGAATGCTATCATATGGTATGCAATTACAGAGAGGATTTTAAATATCTAATGCTGTTGCTGTTTTCAGAGACCATTATTTGAGTGCTGTAACATGGGTGACAGATGAAAGGATTTGTCTGCAGTGGCTCAGAAGAATTCAGAATTTTTCAGTCCTCACAGTCTGTGACTTTGAAAATGCTAATTGGTCATGTCCACAGGTAAGAAAAATTAGGTGGAAGAGTTCCAATGACAAATGAAACTGGAAAGAAGTAGAGTATATCTGTATGTTTATCTTTGTAGAAATAAAGCCTGATGTAAAATAAGCGTAATTGTAATGGGATTGTTTGTTTTTTCTTAGGGAAAACAACTTACGGAAGAAAGTACAACTGGCTGGATTGGCAGAGTGAGTGTTCAATTTCTAAAACTGCTACATGCTAAATAACTCTGATAATTAAGAAAAATTCATAGGAGCCTCTTGCATTTTGCAGTGCCTCTTTTGTGCAGGTCCAGTCCTCTCACTTGCTGCATTTTACATGTACAGGAAAAAATGTTCTCAAATGGAGCTGCTGTGTCACCCCGCCCCCTGAGTTTAAGCTTTTTTTGGGGGCGAGTATGGGGTTCTGAACTCCCAGGCTGGGCTGACAGTGCAGCATGGGCTGGAGCTGTAACCATGTCCTCTTTGACCTGTGCATCATGTTGACAGGAGAAGGGGTAATGCATTAAATCGAAAGACAGTAGGTTTAGATTAGATATTAGAAAGAAATTTTTTACTGTGAGGGTGGTGAGGCACTGGAACAGGTTGTCCAGAGAAGCTGTGGATGCCCCATCCCTGGAAGCATTTAAGGCCAAGTTGGATGGGGCTCTGAGCAACCTGGTCTAGTGGAAGGTGTCCCTGCCCATGGCAGGGGGGTTGGAACTAGATGAACTTTAAGGTCCCTTCCAATCCAAACCATTCTATGATTCTATGATTACATGTTCAGCTTGCCAAAAAGCATAGCACCCTTTCCAGACTCCTTTTGACTTCTGACCTGCTGCTTTGGTAGCAGTAGGTAGGGGGGGAAATGCAGGAGCTAGGATTCAGAATTCCCTTTGTTCTGGGGGAGTTGCCAGCTATGCTGGTTTAGCTGCTTTCCAGTCTTCCTGCCACCTCCAGAAAGATCTACAGAATAAAATGTATAAAGAAGCATATCCTATAACCTTTGAATCATATTAGAAGAAAGGCATAGAGGACAAAAGTAATTTTTTAGTATTTTAGATTGCTACAAACTATTCCAGGTTCTCATTGGGGTTATTTATTTATTTATTTATTTATTTATTTATTTATCCCCCACATGACATAGCCATTGAAGAGAAATGGGGAGAAGACGTATATAACTGACCAGATTAAAAATTTCATATGCTTCTGCCAAACCAGTCGCTGCTGTCTGGATGATGCTTTCCAAGCTGCTTCTCAGTCCTTTTGTACATGGTAGAGAGTAGGCACCTAATGAACTACACAGAAGATCTGGGGGAAGTGAAGCAGAGATGCAAAAGTTCAGACTTGGAGGGAGAAATGAGTTTCAGAGTTTTTGATGAGAACACAGAGTACACTCCACTCCCGCATTTTCCACACACTGATTATGCTTTAGTCACTAATTCACTTTTGAAGTCAAAAATGAGAGTTTAAAGAAATGCAAAGAGGGAGGCAACAGCAGGGATGAAATCATCCGCAGTATGAAGATGAGAGATCAACCCACCTGCTGTCAAATTTGATATGGAAAGGAAGGCCTTAACGCTGACACATTTTGCTTCTCTGCAGCAAAGGCTTCACAATTAGACAATGTGATGATCAAGCTGCAGACTTTGTAAACAGTTGTGCAAAATGAGAGGGCAAAATGCAAGTCTGTGCCATCAAACTAGGTTGTTGGTTTTTTGTTTCTTTTAAAGAGACAACCCACTTCTTAGGAGCTGTTGGAAGAAAGGATAATCTCACTGTATGATTCCTGGATTTGAGAAGGGAGTGGAGAGTAGGGAGAATTGAAGAGGGGATAGGCAAGGTATATTTATTCCTTTCTTTTCTTTTTACCTATTTAGGGATGATAAAATGATACTTGACTCATAAGGAATATTTTTATACATATGTGAGATGTATATTTACACATGCATAAGTATATACAGATTTAAGTAAATTATATATATGTGTAAAATATAGACATAGTACTCTCTTTGTATCTGTAATGGCTTTTGGGTTTGGTGGTTTGTTTTTTTTCGATAGAGATGAAATTACATATAATCTAAGAATGCTCAGAAAAGCCTGTGTAACTGTAAAAGGCTTCCAGGTCATCAGCTAACTTAGAGCTTGCCAGTTGAGTTGAAGGAAAGTCACACTTTGAAAAAGCAAGACTGTTATAAGGGAAAGGCTAGCAAAATATTCAACAGGTTACTTTTTGCAAAAATATTGCTTGGGAAAAAGGAGAGGTTATTTGCAGCACATGGGTTAGGAAGATTTAATTTCTGTCATTGCTTACTGAATGACCAAAGGCAAGTCACTTCAGCTTTCTGTTTCACTTTCCATTTCAAAATGGGTATAACATCTCAGAGGCAACTGCATTGTGTCAGTTGTGTCATTTAACTCATTAAAAATCTGATTTTAACATTTTAATCCTTTGGACATTTATCACAGAAGTATCTTTTATTTCACTCAGCTCAGTTTCATTCCTCTCTTTCTTTCTACCATGTGTAGCACATTCAAATGGCAGTCAGTAGAAGAATTAATTTCTGTCACTCTCAATTGATAAATGGATAGTTCCTTCATGAAAATATCATTCCAATTTTAGTTCCATGTCATTCTGTAATCACCTACTTACTAGCAAAATTTCCTCTTGGAAAGCAGCTTGGGTTTGGGTTTTTTTCAAGAGAACAGGACATTTTTTACTGTTAAGCTAAAAAACCAAATTGAGTTCAAAGAATTTGTTCACAAACACATTTTAAAATGTAAAATTCATGAGAAACATGTATTTGCAAAGTTCACATTTTTATAGGTTACAGCTGCACTGGACAGAATAAAACAGTGACTTTGAAAGTAGATACACATATTATTTCCTAAAATGGTAAAAAAATAAGAACACCTGAAGTACTTCAGATTCAAGGGAGGGGATACAGATCAATACCAGGGCCGATACTCAGGAAATTCTGCTGCTTAAGGAGCAAGATAATATTTTAAGTGTGCTTACTTTTAGGGTGATGGCTATGGGTTCTACCTACTAAGTCAGTAGGCAAAAATTTTTGCAGTACGTTCAGTGATGCATTGTTTAAAGTACTGAGACTCACGGTTAGAGATATCAAAACCTACATTTATTGTTTTGTATCTAGAGTTTTGTTTTTTGCTTTAATAGACATCTCTCTTATGTTCAAGTTTCAGCCATCTGTCCCTTACTTTGCACCCGACAATGCTACCTACTACAAAGTCCTCAGCAACACAGCAGGTTACAAGCACATCTATTACATAAATGGCTCGCAGGTGAGTAATAATGTGTAGGACAGTCAGTGCTGCCTTGTGGTTCTTCTGGTGATCAAGAAGCTTCACGTTTTACTTTTTACTTTGCCTTCCCCCCCCCATTTCAGGATCCAGTACCTATTACTTCAGGGAAGTGGGAAGTAATCAGCATAGAAGCTGTAACAAATGACTTTTTGTAAGTATTTGTAAATAAGCTACTAATTCCTGTCATAAGGGCTGGTAACAAGGGTCTAAGCAAGCAGGGATGGAGAACAGGGAGAAGGTGTCATTTAACTCATTAAAAATCTGATTTAAACATGTAAGGTAAAACCTTTAAATGTTGTAAGGTACTGTAAATATTTTACCAAAACCAGTATGTTTTGCTTTTATAGATACTACATTAGTAATGAATATGGTGGAAAACCAGGAGGAAGAAATCTCTATAAGTAAGAAATTTTTTCTGCACTGTGGTAAAACAGTTGTTAATGAAAAAAAATAAGAAAATGCATTGAAAACTTAAAGATTGTGAAGTTCAGTCTAAGGTGGGATCCTCTATAGGATATTTAATGACAATTGGTGTAAGAGTATAAACTGCAAAAATAATGAAAATATTTTTCTGTAAATTTAGTTAATAAAGGGAAATTGTGAGAGGAAACAACCAATCCTCAAGCAACAAAGCCCCAAAGAAAAACTCTCATGCTTTTTTTACTATGATTATAATTTCAATATTAATTGAACTCAAAAGTTTAAAGTCTGTTTTCTCTAATCTTTAAATCAGTTCGTCACTTCTGAATTTAAACGTTTCATTCGGCCATCTTATTTAAAAAGCATATATTAGTTTAGCATAGCTTAAAAAAAAGTAATCTCTGAAATGAAGCTCAACTACTTTGCAGAGTGCTCTTGGAAAGCAGTCCAAGTTCTACTAAATGTGTTAGCTGTGATCTGAATCAAGAAAGATGCCAGTATTATTCTGTGTCCTTCAGCAAAGACGCACAGTATTATCAGCTAAATTGTCTTGGTGAGTATATCCGGAATTAATTGACATAAACATGACTCACAGATTAGTTGGGTGGGGAAGTTCACTTCATCGGGATCTTGATATGTACTGCTTAACAATGATATGTGTTGATAACACTGGATAAATTCATTGGCAGTGGAAAAACATACTGCCTCCTAGGCTCAAAAGCACCTTGACAAAAATTACTAGGATAAAACTTGTTAGTTCTGTCTGTCAGTGGACCTGAAAGAGCTGCAAAACACTCCTGTCCAGTGCACATCTCTTCAAGAGCTGCATGTGGAGCTCTGCCTGCAGAAGGAATTTGGAGGCTCTGAAAGCATGACAAGCAGGAGGCTGGGTAAAGAGCAGAGCTCCATGTGTGGAAATAAAATTAAGATAGATAGTGCTGGTCAAAAAAAAAATCCAAGTAATGCAATCAAGGTAAGCAGTGGGACTGTAGTCTGTCTCTGACCTGTAAGTGCTTGTGCTAGGTAGTACAAGGGATAAATTAATCAAAGGGCAAGAAAAATGAAATCTTCCCTTAATGTCTTTAAATTGAAATATATGCTGTTTTCTAAGATGCCAAGATCTTCCTTATCTGTGGGCTAGAAGGACAGACAGCAGAGAGGGAATTGTTCTGTCAGGTTGTAAAAATGGGTGAAGACTACTGCTGTGGTCTCGGTGACAAGGCTTACTGATTGCCCAGCCATGGTCCACAACCTATGCATAGGCTTTGCTAAAGAGTGGAATTTCAGTTCTTCAGTACCTCGCAATAATGTGGTTCATCTGCAGACAGTATGAATATTTTGTGGGATCCTGTGGCTTGAATTTGGGCCCTACTGAGTTAAAATCCAGCTTGAGCAGACTGGAGGGAAATGAGTTCTGAGCTTTTATGATTCACCTGTTTCCAATTACTTTATGAGAGTTGTGTTTCAAGATGGCATGCAACCATGAAGGTTTTGTGCCCAATTAACAGGTCCTGGCCTGCCCATATCTACTCTGCACAGAAGCAGTGATGATCAAGGTATGGAATTGTCTTTAAATCTAATTTGTGTTGAGCCAGAAAATTGCACTGTAAATTTATTTTAATTTTGTTGTCATTGCTTAGTATAGTAATAAAAATGTCAATTATAAAGGGTAAATTTAATTTCAAATAATTACCAGAAGAATAAATTATATAGTTTGGCATACCTTTATTCATAGTTTATTTAATATTATTTTACATTGTGCTAGAAAACAGTGAGTAATGTATTACTTATTTACTGAATAACTGCATTTAGATTAAAAACAGAGAAAAGAGCTTTCTGGTTCCTAAATAACTGAAGGAAAACTATATTGTAAATATTGTAAACATTGAATCTGAGAGGAAAAACAAAAACTGCAATGTAGGTTGCTGTCATCTCAGATTGAATACTTAGTGGTTCATAATTAAAGAGCTTATTTAGAGCTTATTATAATTAAAGAGATTTTTTGAAAATAATGTATTTAATCTTTGAATCTTACTTACTCTGTTATTTAGTCCTCAGATACTTGAAAAATAATACTGAACTGGAAAATGCATTGAAAGATATTCAGATGCCTTCAAAAAAATTTGGCTCCCTTAGTGTAGGTGGATACAGTAAGTTCAAAAACATCTTTTACCTTTCTATCCCTTTTTCACCAAGTGCTTCAAGGTCTTCTGCTGAAGAGCATGACAGAACAGATGGGTGTAGTGGGGATTATTGCAGTTATTCAGCACTAAGAGGCAAGATGATTTTTTTTTGAAATCCCAAAATATTCTTATCTAAAATGTGCTTTTTCCATAGTGTGATATCTTGATGTTTTTGCAATGAAATGGCTTAGCTCCTTTTTTTTTTCCTTTATAATAAACTGAAAAACAGAAGTCTCTAAGACCACATTAAATAAAAAAAATAAATAAGAGAAATGAGGGTGGGGCACAAAGGTCATAAGCATCATTGAATTTAAATTACATTATAAAGTCAAGTAGGTCTTAATTTACAGGTGCAAGTTGGTTTGGTTTGGGTTAGCAGGTTGGGAAAGTGGAGAAGTTCAGTTACTGTGAAAAAAGCAGGCACAATTTAAATGGAAAAGCTTGAAAAAACCTATAAGCATCATTTCAACATCACCTTTGGTTTTGTGTGAAGGAACATTCGGATTGAACAGCCACATTCTTAAAAGCACACTCATGCTTCAAGACTACATAAACCTCAATACAGACTATAACAAAATGCTAGAATGTTAACTGTTAATGCTTTGTGAGTGGTGCTCCTTAGAATTTGGGTAGAGAGACATTCTTGGTGTGGTCATAGGCTGAGCAACATCAGATAGACCATCAGTGGAAGGCCTGGTACCTGTCTAAACTGTTCTTGCTCCAGCCTTTGCTACTAGCTTTTCTCTTCATGACAAACTTCCTCTTGATAAAATGGATGATATTCTTAATAAAATTATATTTTACAAACCATATTGGGTTTGGTCAGTCATTGCTAACTGTTCCTTTTGATACCTCCCTTCTTTCACTGTTACCTTATTTATATAATAACTCTCTTTATCTTTGTGTTTTCTGTCTTTTATTTCTGTCACATTTTTACTAGGGCTAAAGATGAAATCTTCCAGGCAAGATGGAGATTTAAAGATGTTCTTCGTGCTATCAGTTGTATATTCACTTTTTTTATTCCTCTTTGTTCTTACTACTTCATGTCTTCAGGGTAAAAGCTTTTGGGTAAGGGGAAACTATTTTTAATGTCACAAGTAGGAGAAATAAATCCATTTATGTAGTCCCACTTCAAGTTTCAAGTCTGCTTACAAATCCCTTTATGTAATTAAAGAAGAAATCCACCCCTGTGACTACAGAGCACACAAAAAAATTAAAATTAGTATTTTAATGTGTTCAGTTTAGATTGGTACTGTTTCAGTGTTCTGATGCTTTGCATATTCATATCTGGGCAAATTTCTTTAAGACTCGCACTCTGACTATTACTGCAGTGTAGTCCATCAGCATTTGCTTTGTGGTTCCTTTGCAGCACCAGTTCTTTTAAAATTCATGAGTGAACAATTGAACCATTCAGTTTGCAAAACTTAAATGGTGCGCATTTAAAATATTCAGCTAACTCTCAGCCAACTTGGGTGGAAGGAATAACATGGATGGAACTGGAATAAGTGTTGCTTCAGAAATAATAGATACTTGGCTATGTTTCTGAGATGCTTTACAAACTGTCACGCGAAGTCTATCTGGCAGGTTCAAAATATTTAGAATTGCTTTCTATTGCTGAGAGAGAAACTTTATTTTTGAGCCTGTGATAGATTTACCACTGTAGAGACATAAAAAGTTTTACATGTAAGCTTAGAATAATGTTACAAAACAGCATGTTGAGTCCTCAAATTTTATTGCTTTCCGCTATCTTAACTGTACAAGATTTAAAAAAAAAAAAATAGACTAGCTAGGAACTTTTACCTGTATATATTAGGACAGTTTCAGATGAAACTGCTTTTTGATTTTTAGGGGATGGCTCAAATGTGCTCTCGTATGAATTGCAGTGCATGTCAAATTATTTCACTGGAGAACTGACCTAAGTAAAACTCTTTTCACTTTTAGACCTGTGGTATGAAATGTTACTGCCTCCCCATTTTGATTCATCAAAGAAGTACCCTCTGCTCCTTGAGGTGTAAGTTTTCAATTACATGGCAATGCTGTGTTAATAATCACTTTCATCTACTTCAAATGCTCTTAATAAGATCAGGAAACACAAAACTGGCATCTTTTCTAATTACTTCTTGAAGTAGTTTTAAGACAGAATGAAAAATTGAGGTATATCCTAATCCATGGTGGATTCTTGTACCATAAGATGATGTAATGCCTAATGAGCACTACTCTGTCAGTGGCACTGAGGCAAATACATTCTATATCGGATTTAAAAGCCAGGATGTTAGTGTTAGCTTACCTCCTCCTCTGCTCTTGAAGATTATTAGAAATAATCTTCAAGATTATTCTATTATTAGAAATAATAATTAGAAATAATAATTATAATATAATATAATAATATATAATTATAATATAATAATATAATAATTATAATATAATAATTATTAGAAATAATAATTCTTCTATTATTAGAAATAATAGTATTATTAGAAATAATCTTCAATGAAGTGACATTCCAGAACGAAACCTTGAATAAGCCTTGTATCCTAAAGCTGAAGTAGTGTGTGATGTTGCATTTTCTCTGTGACATTTGACTGTCAACTAGTGTTAACAAATGTCATCCTGTGGTCAGGATTGCATTTGCTGTTGTTTTTTCATAATTTCAAGACCATGAGCACATGGTGTTTGGTCTGTTCTTCCTCAGGCACTTCTCTTCAGGCTGGTATATTTTCTTCTAAATGGAAATTATTGAATTTTAGCTATTCATTGAAATAGAAATGTTAAGCTTTTCCTCTTTTTACAGAAAGCTGACTCTCTAAGGAAACTAACTGTTATTTCTTAGATACATCTTTATATAATGTAATTTGGTAGCACTGTAATACTTTTTGATATGCCTGCTGAACATTTTTAATGAGCAGCCAAATCTCTTGGCTTCTTAAGACTTGTTTTGGTTTCGATAGAAATTTATTGACTTACCTGGACCTTTGTCAGGATCACCTCTGCTTCACAGTGATCAGAAATTCCTTCAGAAGTATCAAGATCCGTAGCTTGAATTAAAGAATTCTGAGTAGTTTTTTCTTTGCTTTTAAAACTGCTAAGAATGGGTTATAGAGCCATAAGAGCATTCTTCCATTTCTTACTCTGTTGAACAGAGAAGTGCAATGCACAGAATTTTACCATCAAGGCACTCAGAGTATGATTTCATATTGGCCAAGTGTTTCTGAAATATTTTTAATGTAAAAAATTAAAATTATAAGGTTTTTTCCTTTTTCTCATCCTAGATAAGAAAAAGTTTAGACTGATGAGACACTAGAAATGCAGAGAAAAGTACTATTCATTTTTCCAAGTGAAAAGCTATTTGTTGATTTCAGACTTAAACCAAATAAACTTTGAGTGAATGGAACAGAAATAGTTAGAGAACATTACTTTGAAACTCAAGAAACAAAAGCAAATTTAGCCTGGATTTCTGATAAGCTGCTTAAAGTCAAAATAATGAAAGTTTCTTATTAGAGCAGAAAGCAGTAAAACAAGGAAAAAAAAAATCCAGTCTACTTTCTTGATTGGTTGAAGTTTTAGAAAAGCGTGCTGCTTTCAGTTCCAGCAAAGCAGCAGTTTGGAGTCAGTCAGTGATGCTTTTCTTGTTTATTCGGTTGAATTTAAAAGTTTATCCTGCTTAAGTGGCCAAAAATTGTCTGTGATAATTGTATTTCAAATGCTTGATGTGAGAATATGTAGAGAGTAAATGCCTGAATTCTGCGGCACTTTTCACCCAGATATGCAGGGCCTTGTAGTCAGAAAGTGGACTATACCTTCGACCTCAGCTGGGCTACCTACCTTGCAAGCACCGAGCAGATCATCGTGGCCAGCTTCGATGGCAGAGGAAGTGGATACCAAGGGGATGAAATTATGCATGCAATAAACCGAAGGCTGGGAACATATGAAGTGGAAGATCAGATAACAGCAGCCAGGTGAGCTACAGGGAAAGGTCAACACCTGCTCTTTCTTCTATGTGCCTATTGTGCAGGGGGGAAAAGGGTGAGGGTTTTGAAAGGTCATCTTGAAATTATTGGCAAAAACATAAACATAACATAAAGTCTGCATTAATTTTGTTCACTGAAGTGTGTCATTTATAGACCAACCATCATTTTATGCTTAAAAAGAGAGAAGAGTTAATGCTGTAATACAAATTTACCATATCTCTTATTTTATGAAGAGGATAGCTGTCACATTAGTCGAAGAACATGCTACAAAGGAACTTGGAGACAGAAGTTTTACTCCAAGCTTTTTGCAAGTTTCTGTTGTGGTGAAGTTACTTGCATGAAATACTCAGCTTTTACATCATAGTTCATGTTTATCATTTGGTTTATGTTTGTAGAACATCACTAAGCCAAACAATCACAGTAGAAATCTCTCAGAATAACAATGCAGTAGTCTTACAGGGTTTTCTGTTTGGAATTTTAAAATATCAAGGAGTTTAAACACATAGCATTTCACAATCTTTTTGATTTATTTTTTTTAAATGGTGACTGGATTTACATGTGTCAGCCTGTCCCTTCCTGCTGCAATTTGATCGTTGTGCATGTTTAAAAAAAAAAAAAAGACAAAGAAAGGCAAGACAGGTAGTGAAATCTAACCTAATACAATACAAATGTCAGTGAGTGTAGTTCAAGGGGTTTTAGAGTGTCACATGCACAGATGTTTTTCTGAATTTCCTTAAGACACACGTACCTGAATTGTTGTATGTTTTCATACGCAGTTACTGTGATGAAGTGGGAAACACTTATTTCAACAATAGAAAGCAGCAGATTTGATGGAAAACAGGCACGTCTGTAGAATGGCAGATACTTGCAATCCGTTAAGTGTTTAATTATTCTGTTTGCTTTCAGAAAATTTTCAGAAATGAGCTTTGTTGATAAGGACAGAATAGCTATTTGGGGTTGGGTAAGTACTCAAATAATTTTGGCAGGCATATTATTTAATTGTAACAGCTGTTGTGCTTTGTGGCGGGTGCTGGAGCACTTCATGTGAGGCACCTCTGGAGTCACAGCACAATCCAACAACTGAACCAATGAAGTGCGTTTTACAAATGCCTGTATACAGTGCCCTTTTGCAATCATTCAGGAGCCTTTGTAAGAGAAATTAGGACTACTAGAGGGATTTAAAACAATTTAAAGGGATGCTGCCAAGTTCCTGTGTACAGGATGAACCAACACTAAAAAGAAACAAAATCCAGTATGTATTCACTAGTATCTCTTTAGTTGGATGATTCATTTTTAAAAAAAAAGTGAAATTTTATGTGATCCAGCTGTGTGGCATGGTTATTATGGTACTTGCCAGATTTCTCTAATTTGATGCATCTTTAAAACCTGTCACAGTAGATGGACGTGTTTAATAGCATATAGATATTCCCTCAGCTGCAAGGCTAAGTGTGTATGTAGTGTTAGTGATTCTGGTACTGAACAGTTCTCTGTCCCAGGCTGATGTTTTGCTGCTTTTTTTGGTTAACAGGGAGAATTCTTCTATGTTCTGTTTAAACATACGATGTTTTAAGTATATGCAGGATTGTATGCAGGATCTTGAATTAAATTGCTAACTGAAATTTGGACACTGCTGGTGACAGGCACTAGTGAATAAATTGCTTGATGGCAAGATGATGATGAGGGTGCCTTTAGCAGCTTTTCTTCTGGGTGTAAACACCTCTGTTATATGAAGTCATGTGTAGTAGTATTAACTGTAGTGGGAGAAAAATTCTTTCTGCAGAAATTGAGGACAATGCATTTGCATCTTAAGTCCTTATGAGCCTCAGAATGAACAGTTGAAGAGCATTCGTCTTTGGAGCTAGGTTGGGATTATGCACTCGGAATACTGAACCTGTGGGCAAACAGATTTTCTTTATCTCTTGAGTTTTCAGATTGTCAGCCTCTCATTGTCAGCCTGTCACTGTGTACATTAATTTTGTTTGCCATAGATTCATCAGTAATATCTTTACTGTGAGTAGGTTAGGCATTTATACAGGGGTTTAATTACTAAGTGCATGTGTTACTTTGGTGATCTCATTGGGTGGACCTAAGAACTAAGCTGGAGCAAACATATAAGGACTATCAACTAAGATGCAATTCCATTTGCCTGTAATCTGGTTTCAGGACACTAATGAGATCCAAAAATTGCTCCTTTTTGAATGTGGGTGGGCACATTTTCCTAAATAATCCCTTCACAGTATCGTGAGGGAAGTCATTTGGGCGGTCGGTGAACGCATATAGGTATCTCGTTGCCTGGATGCTCAAGTGTGTCAGATATTTACTCATCTGTGTATCAGGCTAGACTGCAAGTAAATTTTCTGTGTGTACTGAGGAGTGTGTGGCTGCACAGTTCCTCCCACAGACTCAGCAGATCCTTTGCTCCCAGTCACAGTCTTGCTCTTGACGCTTTGGGGGAGAGTTAGGGAGCGAGCTGCCATAGGCCTGCTCCTAGGGAACTGGAAATTTTTGGATGCCCTGTTGCAACTACTCATCAGGCACACTGTGGGATAGAACTCTGCTTCCACCCACTCCCCCAGCACGGGAAGGGACACAGCGGTTCAGCAGTGTCTTGTTTCCTGTCTTTCGCTGCTGCCTACGGTGCTACCAAACACTGTCATCCTCAGCTGAGTCACAGTTCAGCAGCGCTTGCGCCCTTTTTCCCCAGCAAGTTCTCATTCATCAGTGCCACAGCTGCCATGCGCTGTTTGATGCCTGTTTCTCCGACTGAGCAGGCTGGCTGAGATCTGACCCAAATTCAGAATGGAGTTCATTAATATGAAAAACGCTGAGCCTATAAATGCCTGATGAACTGTGTAGCAGATGGGCCCCATCCTTTCCTTTCCGACTAAAATAACAGCAATGTTTTCTTCTCAGTCTTATGGGGGATATGTGACCTCCATGGTGCTTGGCTCTGGAAGCGGCGTGTTCAAGTGTGGAATAGCGGTTGCCCCCGTGTCACATTGGCAATATTATGGTATGTGATGGCTTCCTCATTACAAGGATTCCCATATGTCTTGCAGTGCACACGCTGCAAAGTGTTGATTCATAGCACAGAACTTTGATTATCTACTAGATGCCATGTAAATGCCACTTGGTCTGTTTTTATGAACTTGTGGCTACTGCATTTCAAAATTAATTCAATTTGCTAAATATTAATTCCCATTTTAAAAAGTCAGATCCATAATTTCCGGCAATCTCTAACTTTTAATGAAGGCTAAATTATTGTAATATTTGTAATATTACTGTAATGTGCTTGTGTTTGCTTTGCAAAGCTGCCATGTGTTCTGATACCAGTATTGTGTGTCAGAAATCCATCATTAGGTTTTGCATCTTCAAAATGCAACTTCACTTACAAGAATGAGCTGTGAGGATTAGCATTGAACTTGCATTGTAATTTACTATCTGAAAGTAACAGAATAGGATTTGAAGTGTCTTAGCGTTTGGGGGTTTTTGGTTGTTTCAGTTTGTAAAATTTGGATTTTATAAATCTAATTCATCTTGAGAATAGCTTGATGTCAGGAAAACATGATCAAATGGGCAAGTCTGTATGTGCTTCAAGCTTATAGTGCATAATGCTATGCTTGAATGAGGCTACTAAAACAATTATATGGGCCCTCCTCCTAGATTAAAAAAAAATATATATATAGTTATAAATGGGTGCTGGTACAATGTGACCACATTTTGATATTTTTCTGGTTTGGATTTGTCCAAAAGCATTTGAGAGAAAGCTTTCCCTGGCAAACCTCTGCTAAATAAGGCATAATTTATCATTGTGCAACTAGCACAGAGGCTGTGTAATAGCTAATTCAGCAGATCAAATCATACTGCCAGGTATTAGCAGTAGTCTGTTGAGAACATAGTGATTCTTCATATTTGGGACATGAATATTATAGTATGACAGAAAATAGTTTTTCACGGTCAGGATCTCTCAAATTCCACTTTCAGTTGATTAGATAAAGGATTATGGAGGCATGCATATTCAACATGAAAAATCCTCCAGTGTGACAACTCTGATGAGAACTCAGATGGACATTAGAATATGGCAGCAGAGCTTTGATTTTATGACTTAAAACAAAGCAGCAATCTACAAAAAGGTAACATGGTGAAAAATGTGTGGAAAATCAGAGATACTTAATTTTTACTGTGTATAACAGAGCCAAGATGAATCCTAATTTACTACTACAATTTCTTTTTATAGATTTTTGGTAGTAAAAATTTAGATAAAAAAGCTAAGTTTTTTTTCAAATGCTCGTTATTTACTGCAACATTTTCAGTAATTTTGTAAGCATTACTGAAGGAATAACAATAGGGAAACACACTAAGTACTGTATTAATATTCAGCATTCAGGTGTCCATGGCAACAAGAAGATTAAATATTCTGAATAATGATGGTTACCTACATGCCTCATTGTGGAAAACCTGGTTGCTTTTATTTTGTGCGGTTTTTTTTAGTTTCCAGTATGCATTATTACTGTTTGTATTCATAAAATTTATGGTAGACTGAAAATTAAGTAGCAGATTCTAATTTTGTTTTTTTTCTTAATTACAGATTCAATATACACAGAGAGATACATGGGCCTTCCTACAGCAAGTGATAATCTGCAAAACTATTATGTAAGAAAGAAATCACTTTATTTTGTTCTTTAGTGTTTTGTCTCATTTCTAAATAACTGTATTGTTCTTTAAACAGTTTAGTTCCTTCCCCATGGGAAGCAATAAGTTTGCTGCTTCTTTCCAGCTAGAACCATTGCGTTGTGGATTTAGAGGCTGTAGTCTCATGTGTTTGGATTTCTATGAGGCAGCTTCTTGATGGATGGTGTGGGTTTTCTGTTGTTTGTTTGGTGTGTTGGGTTTTTTGTTTTTTTTTTTTACATTCAGTTCCATTTGGGTACTTTGCAGACTGTAAAACAGGCTGTAAACACTGTTTTATTTTAATCACCAAGAAACAAATTTGTTTTAAAATTTAATATGTTCGTGGGCAAACTCTGCTTTATCTTAGACATTTTCCACCAAAACAAATGTACTCTCATTCCTTCTGAAATGTAATTTTTTTTTAAAATGGGGATGTTAGAACTTTCCTGCTTAAGGTTTTTTCAGGGAAAGCAAAAGCTCCTCAATACTAGAAAACTTTGGCAGGTAGGCAAGTCTGTCTGTACTGTGATCATATCAAATTGCAGACCCACTGAGAGCTAGCAGTGTCAGGGCTGGAATTTTGGCCTGATCTTCGTGAACACGGGGTGTCCAAAGTTTGTTCTAGAATTACCTATGTTTGCACAGCAGTGAGGGAATTTCCATGTGTCCTAATGGAAGCAAAATACATTGTTTGTCCTTTTTACGGCATGATGAATCGTTTGCCTTGCTCTTCTGTGTGCCAGTTGCTTTTTCTTACCTCAAGGGCTGTTTGAAGTCACAGGTAGCTGGGCACAGGGCAGAGCAGCAAAGCCTTCTGTTAGGTTAAACTTCAGGTCTAGGTGAAAATACAGGGGCTATTGGAGAACTGTGAGGGATCCAAGAGGTACTTTGTGCCCTGGCTGTTAGAATGTTTCACAGAGGTGTTCAGCCCTGGTGATGCTGGAACCAAGCACTGATGTTAGAGGAAAGAGATGGGGCATTTTTTGTGTTTGGGTTGGTAAGTAGGCTAGAAGACAATTTAGCACTACTTATGTGCATTAAAATAATAAGTGTGATGGGTAGGATGAAGGAGGGGTTGTTGCATTGATTTAAAAGTATGATAAAACATATAAATACATACCTATATGAACTGAAACATCTGGTTTGACATATTACTACAGTAATCTAGTTTTGTCAACTGCTATATGAGGCATTCTGGTCAAGACTGAGGACAATGATAGTGACTGCTGGACAGCTTGGTACTATGTTTGCCTCTTCTAACCAGTGAGCTCCTGGAGCCCACCAGGGACTGTCCAGCAGCCTGCAGCCGCCTGCCTGCCTTTTTCCAAATGTATTTCTTTAAGGCAGTGGGAACAGTAGGAGGTCTGCGAGGTAGCAGTGTAAATACAAGTTACTGTCGCTGTGCAGAACGAACGTTAACACTCTGGGTGCACAAAGTCATTCACCAGCTTCACGGCACAGATGGCAACAGAGGACTGTTTAAGCCTTTCAAGCCAGGAGTCGAATTTTCTTGGCATAGTATCTATTGCTGGCAATGGCCACGTTGAAACTGCCAGTACCAAAGAGCTAAAGGTTTCAAATGTGTTACTCAGAGGACTAATTGGGGAGAATGGTGGCTAGATGGAGGAGGAGTAATTGCATAGATCAGATTGTCACACTTCGCTGCTGCTCCTGGAGATAGGAAAATGCAACTTATATCCTCATTTGTTGTTAAAAGCTTCAAATTACTTTTACTTTACTTTTAACCTGGAGGGGTGGGGTAGCTCAAGACATGAGTTGGTTGCTTTTCATGTAGCATCAGTGAAAGAGTTGTGGGATTTTGTTGTTGCTGAAGACCCTTACTGACTTCAACCCAGCATGTTTCTGGCTTACAGCCCCTTTGTTCTATGTCCCAGTCCCAATAGCCAGCCTCCTGGCCCCTTGTCGCTGATGAGAGCTGTTTGCTGAACTGAATGTTTTTAAAGTAAATGCAAAATATGTATTGAAAGCTCTCCTAGCTGAAGCTGTTAAAGCATTTTTTAGCTGTTAACTTTGTACTGTCAGGTTTGCCTGCTGCATTATATATTCTCTCGTTATCCTACTGCATCCGCCGTAAAGCTGGCATGAAAAGTGAAAAGTTGTGTAAACTCTGTACTATGTGCCCTAATTTAAAAGAATGAGGCTGTGTACACACCTGCTTAGAGAAGATGCACACTGCTAGGCACCTTCCTAATGTGCAGTGTTATTAATGACTGAATATATATTAATGACTGTGAATATATAGACTCAAGAAACTAGTTGTGGTAAGAGGGGCACATCCTACCTTTGTATTACTGTAACATAAGGTTTTACATTTATTGAAGGCAGAGAATCTGAGATGTTAAATATTCTTTGTCAAGAATCAAGTCTGAGGGATGACTCAGACTCCTAAGCAGGCTAATTGGGTGTGCTCAGTGTCTTTTAAGGTAGTTGTAAACTATTAAAAATTAGAGCTTTGTAAGAGAGGAGCAAGCATGAGTGGAGCTCCCAATATAATTGTGTAGAGATCCTAAGCAGAATAGCAGAGAAGCTGTCTACCCAGAAGAAAAGTCCCTGGTGAATAAGACTTGAGACTAAATCAGGGCAGAGCTCTAGAGGTCAGATGCAGTAGCCATGTAAAGCATACCGAAGAGACTGTTCAACTTGTGAGAACATTATTTTGCAGTTCACTCTGAATTTGATATGCTTTTGGCAAGTGTTTGAAACAGTCATAGATTTGGCAATCTTTTTCTAGCAGATTTGAAATGTTCAGTCCTTAAGAACTGCTGCATCATTAGGTTATGCAAAACAGGGTACAATTTTGTAAATATGCCATCTTGTACTGATTTGACATTTGTTCTATTATCTGAGAATATGCTAAAGGGAGAGAGACCTTCAGTTTCAGCCAAACCTTAACTTGTTTGTAGAGTGCTGATAAAATGTTGACTGCTGCGTGATCTTTAGAAAAGCCAGTTGCACTCAGCAGGGCCCAACTCTCAGTACTTGCGCATGTTACCTTTCTGAAGCCTTTGTCCCAGCAGTATAGCTATGAAATGGAAGGGTAAATGAAGTTGTATTTATTTGCTGTGCACTTGAGGTTTCTTCAGCTGATGTCGCTGTTGCTTTATCCTCTAACTGTGCCTAACTTGAGATTGCTCTCAATCTTGCAACCTTCTTTAAGGACAGAGATATACTCTGTCCTTAAAGCATGTTTTAGGGAAGGGACTGTTCATGTTGAGTATGAGTGCAGCAAGTGAAGCATCACAAGTGATAAAAATGCAGAGAAGGTATCTCTTGTGCTTCTTCTTTCTGAAATATTTTTACAAATAACTTTATTTTGTTTAAAGCTTGGAGGGGGGAAATGGTGACATCCTTTTTCTAAAACTGCTTTTGCAAAGTCACATTCTCAGAAGTGTAGCTAAAGTCAGGCTTCCACTCAGAGAAGGTTTGCTTAAAACAGCATTGACTTGCTGGAAGAAAGCTTAGAATAGTGATCTATCAAGTTTCCCTCTGCACATGTGGAAAATGATGCACTCAAAGGATACTGCTTGGGTTTTTGGTTTGGTTTGGTTTTTTTCCTTAATATCACAGGGCCATTTCTGAATTGATTTTTTGGTCAACTGCTTTACCAGTGCATCAAATCCTCTCTCTGGATTTTGGCGCTTGGAACTAATTGTTCTTGTTCCATGATACTAAATCATTTCCATGGATAGCATCACGCTTCCACTGCATGTGGATTTTTATATACTGGATGAGATTTCTGGTGCTCTGCAACCTTTGACTATCAAAAGAGGGCAACTGCAGTGTTACAGACTGGAGGGTGGGGCTTTTTTCTCTCTGCTGAACTTGTTTTTTAGATTTAGTTGAATAAATACAAACAATTCCTTTCATGTATGAAAAGGTTGTGGTACACTATTCTGCCATGACAAAAGGAATTTAATATTTATACTTGCTTTAAAGATTC